GCAAAAGCTGCCACTGATGATGCGCCGTAAAACTCCTCCAACTGCGATCGGTCGTTTCTTCTCTCCCAACGCAGAAAGGCTGGCACTGGTGTGGAGGCCTCAAAACAAATCTGGAAGCTCGTCGCCATAGTAGAACACTTTGTAGTTGAAGTCCGCCAGGGTTTCAGAGAAATCATCGCTCATGCCACTAGCTTGGAGATATGAGAACCGTAGACCATCAGGACCTGGAGCACTCTGCGGATTAGCCTTGTTTACCGACTGTTTGATAAACTTGAGCTCAAAAGGTTCCTCAGCTTCGGCGATGAAGTCTATATTGTGCCTTCCTTCACTATCTTCTGCAGCTTTGATGCTGGAATCCCACGCAGCAGCGATATCTTCAGGATCTTCATCAGGGTGTAAATTTCGGAGGTGCTCCAATGTGACGTTGTTGCGCGGAGATGGTGCTGGGGAGATCAAGGCACAAGCAGCTTTTGTACTCCCTCCTCGTTCATGCGTAAGACGTGTGGCTCCCCTCTGGCGATTACTTTCTGTGTCTGCATACACCTGAAGTCTACGATTCTTCTCGTACAGCAGGAGCCAGGCGATAGGCTCACTAAGGTCACCACTTGCGAAGCGGTTGAATCGGGAGACCCTATTCATCCGTCCGTCAGTCGATCCGTGCAACGCTGGGGTAAGATGAAGCAGCTTGGTCGCTCGGACAAGTTGGAGCTGTCTTTCAACACGTGCTGCCATGCATCTTTCCGCTGCGAGAGGAGACATGTTAGAGGTATCCAATTCCTGTTGGTCCATATGAGCCGCTCCAAATGCTCGGACAAAGGGAATGAGGACATGTTGGAGGTGCTTACAAAATGCTTTCGCCATCTGCGGATCGACGTGTTTGACTGTCGAAAAATTGACGTTTCCTAACCCTAACCCTAACCCTAAGTATCTTGTCGAATCTGATCTAGGGCGTTGCTGACGTCGTTGAGGTTCCACGGTAATAGAAGTGGCTGTCCGTCATCCTCTTCCACTATCGGTGAATGCAGCAATCCGGGGGGCGATGGGGAGGATGCAGGTCCTGGTTGGCAAGAGTGCTTTGTCCGTGGAGAGAAGAGGTCGCCGCACGCATCACATGCGGCGTAATTAGGAGCATTGGCGCTCGAACGTAAAGATCCAGGAGGAGAGAGAAACTGAGAAGTAGCTGCTTTCCTCGCCCTTTGTGCTGACGTTGCTGGTGTGAGGCCAAGTTCCTTGCTGTCAAGCTTGTCGATCCTTCGTCGCTGCAGAGGGGACATGAATACCGTAATTCTGTTGAGCATCGTGGCGCAGACCCAGCTCCAGGTGGTGGAGTCATGATACTCGTTCTCCTGTTGTTGCCGGTAGAAGATACAATGCAACGGGAATCGATGGTAGTCCCTCAGCCACTGCCGCCACCGCGTTCCGTCCTTTCACCACGCACACCGACCTTCCACCACGCTAACAAGCGTGCGTGGTGGAAGTGNAATGCAACGGGAATCGATGGTAGTCCCTCAGCCACTGCCGCCACCGCGTTCCGTCCTTTCACCACGCACACCGACCTTCCACCACGCTAACAAGCGTGCGTGGTTGAAGTGGTGAATTCGTACAAAGAGGCCAAGGGCTCGAATGTGTGTGTTTTTGTTGCGGTTGAAAACACAAAACACTTCTACCACGAACTGGGACCCCGTGTGTGTTCGCACCACCTTTGCGCCGATAAACAAGCCGTTTGAGGATCATTTTCGGTGCGGAAAAGTGTACAAGCTGTAGCGTAACAAGGCCATCATTCCGCACCCAAGCCCCCACCCAAGCGTTTCTCATTTCGTGCCCGCGTCGCTGCGTTCGGTGCCGATATGTACTCTATTCACAATCCGTTTCATCGATAACTGCGCCAATTGGCGACGTTCTGCAAAAAAAACGAGTGCCCAAGCCTACTCCTAATAGGTGAACACTTCTCGCGTCGTTGTGTCCTTGCACCAACCCCTAAGTCACTCGTTCACACCCGGTTTGTCCTCTCTTTGCAGCGTCCTTCAACTGTCATTTGAGACACGTGTGTGTCGGTTTGGTTCTGCTGCTGCTGTGTTCTTTTTTTGACCTCGTCCACACCGAGTGGCCAACTTTGGCACGTGTTCAGACCAGCTACCACGCATCTCCTCCTCTACAGCTCGCGGCTTTCACTATCTGCATATCATAGAGGGTGTTCGCGTGTGGTTTGCAGACCACGACAGGGCGTAGTGAGGAGGGGCTCGCGATCGGCGACAACTCGCGTGCTAGTTCAAATATTCTGCTGCTGCTGTGTTTTGAGTGGTGGGGCATTTTTTTCTACCTCATTTATTAACGCATACGGAGTGCTGACAACAACGATTCGCATCAACAACATCGCGTCAACAACATCGCATCAACAACATTTCTGGTGTGTGTACCAAAACAAAAGCAACACATATTCACGGGGGGCGCACGACCCAGCCTACTGCAGGTACTTTCCGCAGCACGGGTTATGCTGTTGTGATGGTGCGCGCGGAAAAAACTCCCCCC